TAATCTAAGATGGGAAGCAGAAGCCTCACAATCCAGCTTTGGGCATACACAGTTATTTTTTTGTTAAGTTTTAAAAATGTCAGTGAAATTCCTTGGGATAACAAACGACTGGGCAGCCATCCTGTCAGAGAGTCCCTCAGGCCACAGACAGGGTTCTGTAGACTCTGTGCTAGGGGGTTGGACATGGGCACAGCTTTTGACTGTGTTTACACCTGAGCCACTCATGATATTCTACCTTCAAGGGAGACAGAGACAGCAGCCACTTTCTCAAAGCCATTCCTCTGACATTTTAGGTTTCCATACTTGAAAAGTCTTACCATTTGAGACCTCTGCTCCAAGTAATACAATTTAGTCCCCCCACCCCCCGCCCCAGACTAGTGACTGCTATGTCTACAAAGGAAGTTTTCCATTCACAAAAGCAACAAGCAGTGATTAAAACAAGTTGCTTTTAAAAGGGAAAGCCTCATTTTCTGATGTTCAGAACTAAGAGAACTTTTAATGCCCCCATTGCAAAGGCTCAGGCCCTCAATACCTCACAATGTAATCTGATTTTTCATTCATTCTTTAAGAATTCCACACATGTCTAAAATGTATTGTGAATATACCTACCCACAGTCCCTCTCCTCCTCCACCCCATTGCTAGGTTCCCTTCCCAACTGTATGTCCTCTTATCATAGCCCACTGAGTTCACTCAGTGTTGTCTATAGGCACATGAGTGTAGGACTATACATTGGAGCATGGGCAACCTATCTAGAGCCATTTTCCTGAAGCAAACTGATTCTCTCTACTAGGAGATCTTCAACTACCAAGCTCCCTTGCTGGGAATGGGGTTTTGTCTATCCCATCCACACTGGAACTTTGACTGGCTTTGTCTTGTGTTGGTAATCACAGTTCCTGTGAGTTCATGATGCAACAGCCTTGCAGAGTCCAGAACACTGTTTCAAAGCACCTCTCCCCAACTTTGGCTCTTACAAACTTCCCACCTCCTCTTCTACAGTGTTCCCTGAGCTATGTGGGGATGAGGCTATGATATAGATGCCCTATTTTATGAATTAATAGTGAAACAACCCAAGTTGATTTGGGTGTGGTTTCTGCCACAATGCAGTAGCAATACAAATAAAAAATACAGCATATTTAGGTTGTGGCCAACCTGAGCACGAGTAAACGACATCATAGATTCAGTAATTACAACATCTTACTCTGTGATGATCTCACATGGGGGTGGGTAATGAATGCAAGGCATGGAGCTGAATGGAGCCCAAGGAAGCAGGAGCCAGGCAGGACCTCTGGTGCAGGCTGAGCAGCACCTATGAATTCTGGGCAGATGGCACTGTTTCCACATATGGAGACTATTTGGGATTTCAAGCTCAATATTTCTAGATCATTTGATATTTTCAAAACTTCTCAAGGAATCCAGACTTCCATATGAATCTGTTCAATTTTTCTAATATTGACTTAATTAAAATATCACTACCTTATGGGGACCAAACTAAATATATTTAGCCTCCAGGCTGTCAGTTTTCAAACACACAGACGTGGTCCAATTAACATTTTATAAAATAGAAACTAAATGTTAGAGACCCTGCTACTCCTGAGGCTAGAACCCAGATCCATGGATAATCAGGCCAGGTTGAATCCAACCATTAGAAAAATCCTCACATACATACAATTTTACCCGTGTGCATCTGCTACATGCACATGTGTGCAAGAGAGCGTGTTCCTGTGTGCTGGTAAAGGTGTTCTGCTCTGTCACTTTCCACTGTCTTGTTCCCTGAAGTAGGACCTCTCACTGAATCTGATCTAGACTGGTAAGCATCTAGCCTCAGAGGTCCTCCCATCTCCACCTCCTGCAGCCCTGGGTTTTGCTGCAGCACTAGGATCCAAACTCGGTTCCTCACTCTTGGGCAGAGAGCACTCTTAGCCACTGAGCCATCTCCCCGGCCTTATGCCCTAACATCTGAACTTCCTGCTCTGCAAATCCACACCACTGCAATCCAGTGAGATGATAACGTTGCTGTTTCAGTCCAATCATCTGTCATTATACTAGACCACTCTACCTTTCAGAAGTTAATTAGAAACTCATTTTCTCTCATGAGCTATCTGGATCTATGGGTGTTGTGATAGCATCAAAAGGACAGCAAAATGTGTGTGATTTCGATCTGTCTCTGTTGAGAAAGTAGTCTGTTTCATAGGCAGCACCTTTCCCTCCCTCTGGTACCAGAGTGGTTTACAGCAAGCCCAGAGAGCCCGGCAGGCCTGGGATGTGGTACAGAGAGATGAGATGGTGATGCTGTGTGACACAGCACCACTGTCCCAGAGATGTGCATCTTTATTGAAAGAGCTCCTTTTTTTGATTTCCGGATCAGGCTCAAGCAGTGATAAAGGAGAATTACTTGGCCATTATCAGAAGTGGTTGTGTTTCTATGGGGCTGATACCAAGCAAGAGTTTATCTCTACAATAGGCCTGATAGAATTCACACAGATTACAATTCAATCAGAAGCCCGCAACAACACGCTTGTCACCTGGTGAGACACATATTGCAGACCTCTGAACTGCAGTCATGGCCAAAGGAGTATCTGAGGAATATTTCATGCAATCATGTTGATTTTGGGAAACACTTATTAGAAAGTGCTGCTTTTGGCTGTTTAGTCTATGTCTATATAAAACACATTTTTATACTGCGGTGATCTTTGCAAAAATGCCAATAGTCTGAAGAATCAACTATGTTTGACCTTTGTGATTATCTGATAAATTAATTCCCAAAGGCGTAGTGTGCATTTCCACAGATCTATTTCTTATGCTCCATAGCAGTCCTTTTTAATAGCTGAGAGGTCTTACTCTTCTTTTTGAATACTAGAGAAACTGAGGAACAAAGATCAAAGGTGAAGTCAAAATTTTATTTATTATTTTGAGACAATGTCTCACTATGTAGCCCTGACTGGCCTGGAATTCACAGCAATCCCCCTGCTTCTGCCTCCCAGCACCACCATTGCCCAGTTCTCAAGTGAATTTACTGAAACAAAAAGCTTAGTCCTACCCAGAACACCAATCACTGGTATCAGAGCCATTGTTTCATGACCCAAAAGGGCAAAACACTGAGATTAAGGGCTTGATTCTGACATCACATACCCCAAGTGAGTAGTTAATTGGCTTCGTTACAGATAAACTTTGAGACCTTGAAAAATTTCTTAATTTCTTTGAGTCTAATTTCTTAATTTGTACAATGGAGATAATAATCTTTAATTTTTCAATTGGTTCCAAATAGCTTATCTCCTTGTCATGCCTCAGAGTGTGCATCCACATTCAATTTCTCCCGTTACTTTATTTTTTAACCTTCACATTACTGTACATGTAGAGACTACAATTAACTTAAATATAGCATTTTCAGAAACCACATGCTAGATTAAGTCACTGCCACCATACTTTATTTGCTCTATAGTGTAGCAAATTTGTTAAATTTGGAGATGGGATGTATGGGGAAAATTTCCCAGCAGCTCTTTTTCACATCTACATGCTCAATATTCAGTATCACATGGGATGGAACCTTGTTAATGCTTGAGCTGACATCATCACATTTTTTTTTTCTTTTTTTGGTCAGCATGTGCATACACTGGATACTTTTTTGTCATCTCGGTTGGATTCCAAATGGCATTATGTATCAGCAGAGTAACTTCCATTCAACTGAGCCCAGAGAAATGTCCATGAAATACTCATCACTGGAGCCACACAGTTTGTCACAGTCCCTGAAATTTGGTAGATACCTCCTCAGGGTGGGGCGTTGTATGTTAGACACTAACTACAACCCCTCCAGAAAATGAACAATGCATTAAATTTCAGAGTCATCAACCCAACAGCATCACATGAGAGGAGCAAAGACCCAATTGCTATAGAGAAGCAGACAAGTGGTTCACCTTCCACTGAATGGGCTACACTGAGGCTGATTCATCGGGTTGGCAAAAGAGGTAAATTCTTTTCATGTCATCGAGCAAGATGGCACTATATTCACCAAAGGACCAAGAGAATAACAAGTTCTAGTGTTGGAGATCACAAAGGCGAATAAAGACAAAGTGCCCTGAACACAGAAGAGGGTGTGGTGGTGGCTGTCAATTGTCATCATTGGGACAGAGGACCAGAGCTCTCTCAAAGGACTGGGGCCAAAAGCTGCAAGAGAGAGGTAGGCGGGGCTCAGGCAAGGCAAAGCATCTTTGCTTGGGATCATGCAAAGATATCAATCATCCAGAGATAATTTAGAGCCTGCTTCAACTCTACCACACAGACCTTGGGGCAACTGATTATCCTCTCTGCAAATCTTAGTTTCATCATGTAAGAAGTGAGACCGATGATACCCATCTCAATGAGTGGGAATGTGGCATATAATTCATAGATAGTAGATGGCACAGTGCCTAAAATATAATACAAATGCAATAAAAGATTGTCAATAGTTGAGGAGGAAGTGGAAATCAGCAAGCAGCTTTGGGCTTGGGTATTGGGAGCATGGCTCAGTGCGTAAAGTGCTTGCCATACATGCTTGAGGACCTGAGCTCAGATCCCAGTACCCGCATGGAAAAAAATTGGGCATGTAGTGGTTTTGTCTGTTAGCCCCAGCCCAGGGGTAGTGAGCAGACAGGTAGATCCCACAAGCTCCCTGGCCAGCCAGTATAGCTAAACCAGTGAGCTCCAGCTACAGGGAGACACCTTGTCTAAAACAACAAAACAAAGTGGATCCTAACAGAGGAAAGTACTTGATGCTGACCTCTGACCTCACCGTGCCTGTACATACATGTGTTCATGCACAAACACATGCACATGGCCACCAAATGAATGAGTAAACTTATTTTAAAAAGAGATGGAAGAAGGGCTTAGAGATAACGAGAAGAAGGAAGGAAACCTTGGAAATACGAGGTTATGAAAATCACAGGCTAAGTATTTCAAATGTAAAGTTACTCCATCAAGTCTTGTCAGGGGATAGAGAAATGTATATTTGCATAGTGCTACATACCCATAGTTGGTCATCCATGCCTGGAGGGTTCTTCTTGATGAAAGCACCGTAGTATGTTGCAATGTTCCTGTGATGAGAATATTTCTTCAACATGTTAATTTCTTGTTTGATTTCTTCCTCTTCATCCTGCATTAGAACAATAAATAGTAGGCATGAAAATCCAATTACTGGGAGAACTCCATTCAATACGATTGATGGCAATGATGCATTATCAGTCTGTTCTTCATCATTATGCTGTTTGGTTAAAATGAAATGTTTACAAAATAACCCACTGCCAGCTCAAAGTGGTCTGGAGGGACAGAAGAAAGTCCATTATGTCACCTGGAGGCTATCAGGTAAAACCTGCAGTCAGCTTCAGCCAAGCTGACTGCTCTGGTGCTCACTGCTGATCACATCCACCTGGGGGGGAGGCTGAAGAAAAAGGAAGGGAAAACACCTGGTCTCAGATTTGCATTTTGTGAGGCTCAGGTTCTTTGAGGCATCCTTTTATTGAAGTGCCTTACTGAAGCCAATGAAAGTCAGACAGGAGAGGGGGCAAGGCGAGTTCCCGAGATCTGAAGAAGTTCACAAAGCAGGAGTCCTCATCACCTTCAGGAAGCTCAACATGAAAGAAGGGGGGACGGCAGTGTGGACATCAAAAGACTCCACAGAGGAAGTTTTCTGACATCCAGTTTCATTCAGTTTCCACTTAGAGTCTACTAACTTGATCCTGGAGGCCACATGCATGCACTCACAATCTGACCTTATGTGTGTGCATTCACAATCTGACCTTGTGTGTGTGTGTGTGTGTGCACTCACAATCTGACCTTGTGTGTGTACATTTACAATCTGACCTAGTGTGTGTGTGTGACAAGGAGAAAAGAGGAAAGGGTAAGGAGGAGTCAAGATGGAAGATGGAGAGAACAGAATGCCGGCAGCCTCTCTCTTCGGTAAGATAAGACCACGTGGACATTAATAGAAATGGGTTAATAATTAAGACAGAGCTAGCCGATAAGAAACTAGTACCTGGCCAAAAGCATTATATCTAATACAGAGTCTCTGTGTGTTAATTGAGGCTGGTGGGGCGGCGGGAAAAACCTTACTCGTTACACTATGTTCAAGTGCAAGATGTTATGTGATCTCGACTCAAAAACCCATACCATGTTTCTCCACACCTTTATTCCTTCTGCTTCAGACATCAACTCCAATATTTCTTCCTAGAAGAGCCTCCTGATCTACCTAGCCACCTAGATTATATGACCTTTCATAGCATCTAATTGGCTTGCCAACTCCTACCCATCCATCATCACCACAGACAGCTCGCCTGTATTTGTTCAGTGTTGCATCCCCTGCACCAAGCAGAAGTTCTGTTTAAGTGTTACTAAATGAACAAATGCCTGCAAGTGGCCAATGCTAAGCGCAGCAGTAGGAGTGTCCCAATGAACCAGTGACAATGAAAGGAGCAGAGTGATGAAATGCAGCCATTACTCAACCATACCCAAAACAGAACAAAAACCAAAAACACATTCAGTGGGAGAAGGAAAAGTAGAAATTTGTAAGCTTGGAACAGAAGCATGTTAGGTGTCATGTAGCTTAACTAATAAAATGAGTATTCTCAAATTAGACCACAGAATTGGGGTGCTGAGCTAAGGAGGTGCATGGCTCTAACGGTGAGAAGGGGGGCTGAGGGGACTGAGATGGGCTGGTGGTTGTGGCAGGAGATGGCTGGTGCGACCTAAGCATTCCTCCCTGAAGCTACTGAAAAGAGCACACTACTTTGGTGCAGGCCTACAGAGAGAAAGGCCTTTACAGACCCTTATGTTCTTTGGGGCCCTGGCATGTACCTCACTGTACCATGGTGAACATCAGCTCTTTTAATTCTCTAGGTAGGGTGTGAGCCTCATTTAACTTGGAGAGCTGCATTTATAAGGAGGAGCCATGCAGAGGGTACTGGTGGCCACTTCCATTAAAAAAAGGAATTATGCAGATAATGAAAGCTACAGATCATTAACCAGCTGAACCTGGTAGTCACACTGTAGGCAGCACTTGGAGCTAGGCGGGTTCTACAATTATTTGCTGCCTGCCTCCTGGGTCCTCAATAAGATCATGGGTGATGGATGTGTCTGAAGAGGGCTTACCATGTCATTAAGAAAAGTTAAGCCAAAAGTTCAGTACATAATAAAATCTCAAGTAGAACGGGAGGTGAGAACAAGGCTTGCATTACTATGTAAGGGTAAACTGAGCCAATTATGGCCACGAAGAAAGTTTGTGGTTGGAACAGCAAGATGGGTAGTTAGCACACATGGAAAGTTTGGAATCTACTCTTTTTGAGGCACAAGATCTCAGAAAAGTGACTTACTATTTTAGAACCTGGGTTTTCACAACTACAAAAAAATGAAGATATTACAAGTTGAGTTTTTGTGCTAACTAAATAAGGTATATGAAGGTTACAAAGTAATATACAAAATAAGCATGGTGGCTAGTCTCCTCAACACTGACAACAAAATCAATAGATAAGAAGGTTCATCCAGCAGGAGTGTCAGTCACTTGAATTTTAAGTTTAAGTTGCATTGTTTCCAAATACAGTCATGGTCCTCAGGGTCATGGTTATGTAGTCCCAACACATAGCCTTCATTTCAACCTACTGTGGCCTTGTATGTGATCATGCCATTTATCACAGCTTCCAGGCTGCAATTGATAACAAGAGCTCATACAACATGCCACGAGCACTTCAGCCTCGAAGCATGTCCCGGTGAGGGTAGGGGGCATAATACTGCCTCAAAGACAAAGAACAATTAAGGCAAAAACTAGATGCAAATGTTCATGTTTTTGTTGTTTGTTTTGTGTGTGTCAGTTGTGTGCGTGTCCATGGGGAGGTCAGAGGACATCTTTTGGTGTCATTCCACTGACTCCACCCACCTTTTGTTTTTCATGTGGGGTTTCTCACTGTCCTGGACTGTGGCAAACAGGCTAAGCTGCATAGTCAGCAAACACAAAGGATATACCTACCTTTGCCCTCCAGAGTTGAGTTTGCATGCACATGCTACCACACTAACAAGGATTCTGGGGATGAACATAGGTTCTCCTGCTTGCAACATAAGTGCTTTACTGACTGAACTATCCCCTCAGCCTTAGACACAACAGTTTAAATTAGTAGAACACCTTCTATTTTGTAAATGAGTTATTCTTACATTGTAAGCCATAAGCACAGGGGATAAGCTCACTGAGAAACTAATGATCACTGGATCACACTGAAAATAGAATAATGGCATCAAATTGTCTCAGCTTTAAGAAAAGGGTAATCTAATAAGCCGAGTCCATTACTTCACAAAGATCTATCACTTTAACCAGAAGACTTGCAAGTGTAGTCTGACTCACTGTGTTAACTTCAGGCGTGGAATTTAGACTCTCCCAGTGTCCGTTATTTTCAGCTCTGGGCACGAATGCAACCTACTTAAGCTGCTTCAGCAGTGAAGAAATACCTACTTGAACATGGCTTTCCTATCAATGGGCAAACCATGTAGCCCCTTACAACCAGAGGGATCTACTCAGTGTTTAGCAGCTGTGGTAGACTGAAGAGAAACAGACATGACCTTTGGATGCTCCACCCCTACCCCCAATCCAGAGCTCATTACTCTTCTCCTTGAAGCTGAACCTGGCAGGTAACTAGTCTGGCCAATGGGATATTAAGAAATGTGCTTTGGAAAAACCCTGAGGCTAGCTATCTTCAACAGCTTGCGGGGGGAATATGGTACTAAAATGCAGCCAAAACCAGATTTATGTCATGTTCACTATGAGCTGGGAGCTATATGTGATGTGCACTATCGTTATATTCAAAGCACATCTATGTCATATTGATATTTTTAATACTAGTAGTTGTAGTAGTGATGGTGGCAAGGGTGTATGTGTGTTTATGCATGGGTGTGAGTGTATTTGTGTCACCATGCACATGTAGAGGTTAGAGGAAAGCTTTGTGGAGTGGTTCTCTCCTTCCTCCCTTGTATGGATTCTAGGGACTAAAGTTTGAGCCTTTACTCTCTTGGGTCATCACACTGGCCCTAATGTCATGTTCTTAATGACCCCAAGCAGCTCTGTGAAGGAGCTGTTTCTAAGGATTTGGATTTACAAATGAGGCAAATAAGACCCAGAGGGGTTAAGTGACTGCCCCAGAGTACTCACTATAAACATTAGAACTCAGATTCACTTCTAGATTTGTCAGGATTCCAATGCCAGTGATCTTAATTTTATATAGATGGGTTTTGCAATTACCCATGCTGACTAAACCAAAGCACTAAATAGAAAAAGCTTAGAAACATACTTCAGTTAGGTTGAGAGAACCTGACTTTGCTCCCCTTGTGAAAAGAACTTGTTGACATATAAAACTATTTAGTTAGATCTCAGGGAGTAATGGGGGGATTGTAATATTGCATATGTGTATGACAGGGAAATGCTGCTTAAGTATCTGTATATGTGGATTTTAAAAGGGAGCCAATAAAATGCCCAATATTCTTGTGCTCTAAAACAAATCATTTGCCCAGTGTCTAACTCTCAACACATGGAACAAGAATAAAACTGTACCAAGTTTATAGGGAAGTAAAAGGCACACAGATGCATTAATCCACAAACAACCTAGGCCATTGCCCAGAGAATAGGTTGCTCTCCACAAACTGACAGCAAGGACCCATTGCTGAAGACAACACCCACACAACTCACTGAAAATGGGAAAGTCAATCTGGTGCCTACATAAAGCCTTCTCTCCTATATTCTGTGTCTTTGGTACAGGAAGGTCTTCCAAAGGTTACCAAAAGAGAAATGTAAACACCAACCCAACCACAAACCCTGTGATCTACAATCTGTCCTGCCTGCAAAATATGCTAGAACAATGATGGCACAAAGCTTGTGAAAGTGACTTACCAATGTCTGATTTGGCATAAGGCCCACTCTATGAGGTTGAACCCATACCCAACAGTGTGTGGGTAACAAAAAACCAGACACTATATAGGTTAAAGACCTAGGGTACAACCAAAGACTACCTTTTAAAAAAGTAACAATAAAACAAATCTTAATGCTATTCTGCTATACTCATAGATCAGGGCCTTAGCCATCCTCAGAGAAGCTTCTTATGCAATAGATGGTAACAAATACTG